ATGCAACTTATGTTATATGAATGCCCCAAACCTCCCACTTGTATCCCCAGGTATACTAGCCTCGTATCTCAAGCCAGGTCCCTGCTGCCGCCACCCGGTTTGCTATCCCCAGGTCTTAACGTTTCCTAAGTTTTTCAGTACAGTGTACTACTTACTACCCCCTAAGTACTCTCTTATATGGTATTCGTCAGAACTATAGTTCGTGAGGACCCTTGAGTTGCACAGCAACTACAAGGCTACACACTTCTAGCCATTGGCTATTTTTGTAATTCTGCTTTAATGACTTATTTTGTTAAAGACCAGCCTAACACCACGAAATTATTTAAGTGGCAAGCTAAATCACTTCCAGCTAGCTATATCTAGTTGGTGTCGCATTACCAAGAAATATATAAAGAAATTATTATTATAAAAAAATAAGTTAAGTTTTTCTAAGATTTTTGTTTCAATAATATAAGCAATACTAATGTTATGATTAAGACAATAATTTTACCAGATTTCTTTTTTGGTGATTGTGTTAAAACTATAAACATTATGTGTTGCAATATTAAGATATAAATCTCTAACATGGCTAGATTGTTAATTAATAATATAGTTAATAGAAGTATTGTTTCTAGGAACTGGAGATAGAGTAGATAAGTTTGAGGCCTCATTACAAGGATTTTGTAAAAATAAAGTAGTTCTGTAAGAATAGATTTAGAATTATCTGGGCATATTTTATTATTAAGTATATTGTCTGTTTTATTAGTAAGTATTGGTGAGAATATATTAGTAATATCTATAGGTCTGTAGGAATTAGTATAAGTAGAGAACAAATAGATGTATTTGATTGTGATTTTAAGAAAATATTATAAGAATCTAATATTTTTTACAAAACAGTATCCAACATTATAATCAACCTATTACTCAAAATCAATGAACAATTATATGAACAAGTATAGAAACCCTACTGTACAAATTTCACTAACTGGAAAAAACAAAAGCACTTAAACTATCTATATGGTAACAATCACAATTTTACTCAACAATCTGATAATTCAAGTTTACTCAATAACTCTAACTCTAATCAGCAAGCTAAAAGTATTAATCGTATATACAAAATATACACATATTCTTGTTCATATGAAGAACCAGACCAATTATACTTACACACTGGAATCTGCCTACCGGTAGATCAGACCAGAAAGAAAATTAATACTTGGTCTTATCTTTGGACCAAGTACAATATCTCTTTAAATCATATCTTAACTATAGTAATCTAGGTAAGTCTTTAACCACTCTAGTAGGTTTAGATCACAGATAAATTTTTCATTGTCTAAGCTCTTATTCTTGTATGTAATTTATTTTTATTTGTACTAGTACAAATAGTAGTAGCTCTATAAATTTCTATATCTAGTAGTTACTTTAGTAATTACATTATAGCAATCTATATTGTAACTATTTCAAAATTACTAATAAAGATTTATCTTAAAACCAAAAAAAAAGAATATTATAAGAATTATATATAGATAGAACATAGTAGTTAGGAACCATTTCAGATTCATAAAGTAAATATACATGTATTTCTGTTTTATCACTATTAATAGTAAATATGCAAGATGCTTAGTATTGTTTTGTATTAGATGTTGTAGAAAGGAGTTGATAGTTTGTAGTTCTCTTAGTAAGAGAAGTTTGTAATAGGTAAGAAATTTGTTGTAGCATATTTCCAAGTTATAGAAGTTTAATAATATTGATGATGACTTGGATGAAGGTTTTTTTGAAGAGTTTCTTAATATAATATTAAGTTATATAATTTAGCATATGTGTGTATTGTAATGCACCTCTTAACAACTACAGTCTAACCTCATTATAGTCATAGCTTTGAAAAACAAAATCCAGGTAATTATAAAAAGATGTGACTATATAAAAACATCTTTATATAGTCACTATTATAATAAAAAAAAAATCTAGTGATTATATAGAGGTGATTTAATAATTATACTATATATTACCTTTTGTACTTTATTGAAGTTGGTAGCAATACAGTAACACATTAAATATTAACAAATAAGATTAGAATATCTTGTCTCTAAAGTATAATTGTGGTTTTTAGATTTTTTGCACTGTGACATACTGGGGCTTTCGATATACTAATTAATCAAATAGTGCAGATTTTATGCATAGATCAGCAAAATCATTAAATTTACTAGCGAAAACTAGTGATCAAAAATTTTATTCATCTAACGTACCAACTATTTTTTCCTAGCAATTTATGTGTCAAACGATTAGTTTAATATAATTAAACAAAGTTATAGATTTTTACAAAGCCAATTTATTTTTTTTTAATTCAAATAATATTACAAAAGTTCTTACTAATTTAATTAAAAATTTAAACTGTAACTTTGTTTAATTATTTTAAACTAATCATTTGATGTATAAATTACTAGACAAAACTAGTTGGTACATAAGATGAATCAATTTTTTGATCACTAGTCTTTGCTAGTAAATTTAACGATTTTGCCGATCTATGCATAAAATCTGCACTATATATTTTATACTGTATTACAATATCTTAATTAATTAGTATGTCGGAAGTCCCAGTGATATATATACATATATAGTCTTTTTCAAAATAGATTATACAACAATCAATGTGGTATTTAATATTCTTGATCTATATTCTTTATTCGTTATAAATCTGTCATAGCAGTCAAGAGATCTAAAATAATCTGCAATTTAGAATTGCATAGAATGATATTAAGGGCTAAGATAAAGTTTATAAGACATGGTAAAATCTGCTATGCAGATTATGTTAGGATAAAAACTGTTTTTACTATGTTAAATTTATTGTGGGTTTACCTTGTTATATAAAATTTAAGTGCTTCAATTATTAATGAATTTGACTGAGCTTAACAGGTTACCTTCAATTTTATCTGCTGTAGTAGCATAGACTTCAAAAGCTAAGTTAAACAATGTCATTTTACTTGTTATAATTTTCTAATTTTCAATTTTTTTATTATTATTATTTTTTTTTTTTTTATTTTAAAATGAAAAAATTTAGTCATGTATAATATATTCAATATGTTCAGTATCAGTATGCTAGTTATGTACTATATAGTTTAAGTAAAGATACTAATTACAGTTTTTTTTTTTTTTATATAGATAGAAATATGAATTTTAAGAGTAAGAGGCAAGTGAATCATGTAGGTACCAATCTTGTGGGTATGAATCTTGTAAATATGAATATTGAAAATATGAATTCTGTGAATGGTCTTGAGAATATAAATTTTCAGAATATGAATCATGGGGAAATGAATCGTAAGGGGATGAATCATGGAAGCATGAATCCTGGAAATTAAAAAAGCTAGTAATTTTTGATTGCTTTTTTGATTTTTCGTATATAAGTTTATATTCTTTGAGCAGTTTTCTTAAAAATCCTAATTTCTTCAATGTGAAATTTGACTCTGAATTTTCCTGTTCTTCATAGCGAATAATAGTTTGTATTGTATTACATACTTTGGCAGTTGTCACAGGTGAGTCAGACACTTCATCTTCATTCTCAATTTCTTGTTCAGTTAGCTCCTCTTCATTCTTATCAGCTTGAACTGTAGTAATGATTTCTTCATCATCAAGAACTTCTTTCATAGCAATAGATTTATCAACTACTTGTATATATATTGCTACAGCCTAAGAAGTCTCAGGCACACATGGACTCTCATCAGGTAACTTAGCAATAATTTCTTTTTTTTTTTTGGTGTTAAGATGACCTCTTGGTCGGGTTTCTTTATTTAGTTATTGATTAATTTTTATTGTATGCTA